AAGTGGGATTGCTGGATCATGTAATAGTTCTATTTTAATTTTTTTTTTTTTTTTTTTTTTTGAGACAGAGTCTCACTTTGTTGTCCAGGCTAGAGTGAGTGCCGTGGCGTCAGCCTAGCTCACAGCACCTCAACTCCTGGCTCGAGTGATCCTTCTGCCTCAGCCCCTCCGAGTAGCTGGGACTACAGGCATGTGCCACTATGCCGGCTAATTTTTTATATATATATATCAGTTGGCCAATTAATTTCTTTCTGTTTATAGTAGAGACGGGGTCTCGCTCTTGCGCTTGGATAGTAACAATCACAGGGGAAAGGGACAATTCAGAAGAGCTATATTACAGGATCTCAGTGAATCTTCCCCTCTTCTGCTAGATCAATCTTCTGGAATAGGAAAAAAAATGTACAATCTAGGGACTTCTCCTTTTTCTCACTAACTAGAAGAGTTCCCAGCAAAGGAGAACAGGTGTATTGAAACCTATCTGCCTTGATCTAAGAGAAGAGGTTACAGATGAGAAAAAAAAAAAAAAAAAAAAAAAATTAAAAATAGAACTATTACATGATCCAGCAATCCCACTTCTGGGTATATACTCAAAAGAAATGAAGCAAGGTCTCGAGATATTTGCACTCCAATTTCCATTGCAGCATTATTCACAATAACCAAGATACAGAAATAACCCACATGTCCATCAAGGGATGGATAAAGGAAATGTAGTATATACATACAATGGAATACTATTCAGCCTGAAAAAGGAAAGAACTTCTGACATGTGCCATAACTTGGATGAACCTTGAAGACATTATGTTAAGTGAAATAAATGAGTCACAAAAGGATCATAGAAGCAGAAAGCAGAACTGTGGAAGCCAGGGGCTGGAGGAGGGGGTAAGGAGGAGCTGCTATTCAACGAGTATACCACCTCAGTTAAATAAGATGAAAAGTCCTAGAGATCTGCTGTACAACATTGTACTGATACTTAATAATGCTGTAATGTACACTAAAAGGATTAAGAGGGCAGAGCTCATTGTTATGTTTTCTTACCTGCCCCCATAGCCTTGACATTTATTATGTATACCTGCAAAGTCTTGCATAGTTTTTCAAAGAGGAAAATATAAACAGATGGTTGAACTCAGTGTCAACAAAAGTACTACAGTAAACCTGTATTGCCATGAATGGCACAATCAGGTTTTACTTAATCAGCCCTCTCTGGTAGGAATATAGCATGACTGTGGAACTGAAGGGAAGCCCTAAAGGCAAACAATTAGCAAAGAAAGACTCCAAGAAGGAAATCTGGGAACTACAGAATACAACACAGAAAGCAAAGTCTTACGTGGATAGGTTCAAATCTGAATGGTAGAGTTCTCAATTACTATAATGCATAGAACAGCTAAGGATATTGACACTGTATATCTTGCACCACATAGCAAATAAATGGGAAATGAACAAAATCATTTTTAGCAGCCAAATCAACACAGTGAGTCATAATCAGACAAGATGCTCCCAAAAGGCTTTCTGAAAAGACTCAAGAATAATCTAATATTTGGAACATGTCTACAACTAGTTTTCATGAATCCAGGACACAATTCTAACATAAGACTTCAGGTGAAGCCATCTAGATGAACTATATGCAGGCAAATTACAAAATTAAAATCCAATTTTAGAGGTATTAATTATAATCCTTATTATCTGAAGAAGGCAGTGACACACATAATATTAAATAGTAGGTAACTTAACTTACATATTGTTTTGGTCTATTATATTCCTCTCTCAATATTTTTCCCTATTATTTTTGCCAAGATTAGATTGGGGTTAAATGTGCATTTCTTAAAAGACAAAGGAACTGGACAGTAAAGAGTATGGTAATTTGCTGCCCAATTTAAACAAAAACATTCTCAAGACTGAACCATATAACTGTGGAAAAGAAAAGGGGGACATGTAAAGAAAGACATATGTAAAGAAAGGAAACATTCTTAAATGTTTAAGCTATTAGGTCATTAAATATAAAATGTCCGGTTTTGAATCAAAAGTTTAGTTTATCTCAAACAAGAAGCAATACAATTAATCAAAGTATGTGCCTAAACTATCGAAACAGTTTTGCCACCTTAACAGTATCTTGTTTATGACAGCAGCAAAGAAGCCTGGAGAGCAAGTGGCGATTAAATCATGAAAGGCATTTTCAACAGCATGTTGAGAATTGAATATTTTTCCTTGCAAGGCAAGAAGTGGTCCAAAGCCTGGAAGAAATGGAAGTCAGTTGCAGCAAAGTCTAGTGAATACGGTGGATGACAGACAGTTTCCAAGTCCAGCTTCTATAATTTGAGTAGTATTGTTTTTTGCAACATATGGTCTTGTAAGAGGATTAACCTATCTCTACTGACCAATCTCAGCTGCTTAATTGCAAGCATCTTCATCATTTCTTCCAATTGGTTGCAGAAGACATCTGCTGTAATCAACAGACCAGGTTTCATGAAGCTGTAGTGGATAACCAGTGCTGGACCACCAAACAGACACTATTAGCTTTTTTTAATGAATATTTGGTCTTGGACTGTATTTCAGCATTTCATCTTTATCCAACCACTGTGCTGAATGCTTGTAATTGTCAAAAAGAATCTGTTTTTCATCACATTTAACACTACAGTGTAGAAATGGTTCCCCTTTATGCTGTGACAGCAAAAAAGGGCAAGCTTCAAGACGATTTCTCTTCAGATGCTCATTTAATTCATGCAGTACCCATCTATCCAACTTCTTTACCTTGCTGATTTGTTCCAAATGGTCGAATATTGTTGGAATAGTATTGTCAAACCTTGCTGCTATTTCACACGTAGGTTGAGATGGATTCACTTTCACTACAGCTTTCAGCTCATCATTATCCACCTTGGTCTCAGGTTGCCCACATAGCTTATTTTCAAGATTAAAATCACCAGAACAGAACTTCTCAAACCACTGACATACTATACGTTCATTAGCCACATCCTTCCTAAACATGTCATCGATATTTCGAGCTATCTGTGCTACAGTGGTTCCATGAAAGAACTCATATTTGAAAATAACACATATTTTTGACTTATCCGTGGTTTCACAAAAATTGCTCTAAAAAAAAATTGAAAGATAATCATAAGCCAAAATGTGTGTTTGGAAGAATGAGGATGTGCCTTCACAATAAAAATAAATAAATAAATGTCAAAGTGAAATGTCAGAAACATCAACTGTCAAACTTAGTACTTAAGGGAATCGGACATTCCATACTTAATAACCTAAATAGATCAGCATTTCCATTCTTGTCCTTTTCAACTATACCAACCATAATTGTTTAGGCCATTACTGAGTCAAATAAATTGAATCTCAGTGAACAGAAGACTCATGACTTCCTATTAAGTCATCAGATCCATAGTTTATGCACATGATTTGATTACTAACCTCATCTGAATCCAGAAGGGCTGGTAGTGCTCTGTAAAGAGAGAGAGATATTAAATTGAAAAATGTAAAATAAAGCAATAAAAAGACAGTGGGACAGGGCATAGTGCCTCACACCCATAATCCCAGCACCTTAGGAGACTGAGGCAAAACCCAGGAGTTTGAGGCTGCAGTGAGCCATGATGTTGTCACTGTGCTCCAGGCTGGGTGATGGAGATGCTGTCTCAAAAAAGGACAGTAAGATAATGAATGCAATTTAAAGTTTCTTTTTATGATAATTATCTAAGATTTGTATTTATTAATGGCCCTTTTAGGACAAAAAAGGCAAACATCAGAGTATCAGAGTTATCAGGAATTATATAGAGAAAACAAAACATGTTCTAGAATGTGATAGGACCAATGTTTCATTAAAATCATGGCCCTGGAAAGGAACTAAAAAACTTCAAAAGGATTATTTCATTGATTTTAGAAAGATCTACTATATGTTAAATCTTTCTAAACAGAAATGTCATCTGAATGAATCATCCTAATTATTTGTTTGTGTATTACTCCTAATTTTTTTTTTTTTTTTTGAGACAGAGTCTCGCTTGTTGCCCAGGCTATAGTGAGTGCTGTGGCGTCAGCCTAGCTCACAGCAACCTCAAACTCCTGGGCTCAAGTAATCCTTCTGCCTCAGCCTCCTGAGTAGCTGGGACTACAGGCATGTGCCACCATGCCTGGCTAATTTATATATATATATATATATTATATTAGTTGGCCAATTAATTTCTTTCTATTTATAGTAGAGACGGGGTCTCGCTCTTGCTCAGGCTGGTTTTGAACTCCTGACCTTGAGCAATCCGCCGCCTCGGCTCCCAGAGTGCTAGGATTACAGGCGTGAGCCACCGCGCCGGCCTACTCCTAATTTTAAATCATTTTCAATATCTTATATTCTCATTAGTATGCTCTTCAGCACATTCATTTAAAAGAATAAAAAAATAGCTAACGTTAAATAGGATCCTAGTGGATTCAATAATAGGATTCAAAAACTTACACATCTGTCACTGAAGAAGGAACATTCTCTTCTACCCATTTCAAATCATCTTCCTGCTGGGAACATACAAATATCAGTTGTTACTAAAATGAACCACATAATATACTCAAATAAGAAGTTTAAGGTCTTAAAATCTTTAGTCTTTTGTAACTCTAAAGTAGTACATTCACATAACAAATGGGACTACTGAAAGAAAAGTCAAATAATTTTCTAAAAATACATTTGACCAACATATCCCAATTTCCCCAGCCCCTGGTAACTACCACTCTACCTCTGCTTCTATGAGTTGAACTTTTCTAGACTCCACATATAAAAGCAATATAAGACAAAGATTATTTGTCTCTATGTGCCTGGCTTGTTTCACTTAACATGTCTTCCAGGTTCATTCCTGTTGTCACAAATGACAGGATTTCCTTCTTTTTGAAGACTAAATAGTTACTATTCATTCCATTGTGTGTATATACCACATTTTCTTTATCCATTAATCTGCTGACAAGCACTTAGGCTGATTCCGTATCTTGGCTATTGTGAATAATACTATAATGAACATGGGAGTGCAAATATCTCCTTGACATACTGATTTCATTTACTTTAGATAGTAATATATACCCAGTAGTGGGATTGCTAGCCATATGATAGTTCTATTTTTTTGAGGAATCTCCATGCCAATTTCCATAATGGCTGTCTAACTTACGTTCCCACCAACAGCGTACAACGGTTCCCTTTCTCTCTACATCTTGCCAATACTTGTTATATCTTTTTTCTTTTAATAATAGCCATTTTAAGGGGGTTTCAGTTTGAAAATGTTTTTCAGTTTGCGTTTCCTTGATGATTAGTAATGATGAGCATATTTTCACATGCCTTTTGGCCATTTGTAGGTCTTTTTTAAAGAAATATCTATTCAGGTCCTTTGCTCATTTTTAATTGGTTGTTTTTTTGCTATTGAGTTCAGATCCTATATAAATTGGATATTAACCCTTTATCAAATGTATGGTTTGCACATGATTTTCTCCCATTCTGCAAGCTGTCTTTTCACTCTGCTGTTTCCTTTAATATGCCAGAAG